GCGCTGATTGTATTTTCCCAAGTGTCTCTGCAAGCACCCAAGTCAATTTTCAAAGAAATCCCATTACTTGTGAGCAGTATCTCAGAGGTGCCACTGATTGTAATGGCAAAGCCTATGAATTCTGATGTAGCGTTTCAGAAATTAATGCGACTGCCGTGTCACCAGTGACTGCATGACACCTGTTCAACTTAAGTCAAGCAAATACTAAAGGTGAGAAGGTCTCTCAACCTGTAATCCAGCAAAGGCTAATTTCTTTTTATTTTTGGGGGGGGTTAAAAATAGCTTTATTTAGCATACCAAAAACACAGAAACATAAGAAAAAACTTACCTAGTATAAACATAAAAATAGTTAAATACCATAATTTAATGTAAACCAGGTGTTTAAAAATGTGAATTATAGTAAAATACATGCTATTTACACAGAACCAAGTTATTGTATCAGATCATCAATCTTGAAGTCCTCATTAACAATGAATCAAACACAGCATTTGTATTTGTACTGGTCAATAAAAAAAAAAGAAATCCTTTAATTCACTTTAAACAGATATAATTCCAAGCAGAAAGCTAGAAAGTGCCAGTTCTAGGATTCCAGACACAGCCACTGCATGTGGAGGCCTGGAAATCATTCCACTGGAAGACCATTAAGCCCATTCTCTCATTTAAATGCAAACTGGTTGATATAATTTAGTTACTGCTTAATAAAGATACTAAATATATCTGCAAAAATAAACCTTTGTTAAAATGACCAAAGGTGAATGTAATATCAATCATGTAAGAAAGGCAAAAGCATAAAAAATATATATTATTCCAGACAAGCCTCTTTAATTATAACAAATGTTAAGAAACTCTATTTATAAAACCAGATGGGATAGCAAAAGGGTTTCGAAAAATGTAAAACCTAGGTCAAAATCAAACAAAATGAATCTAAGAGAATATTTCTTGAAGAAAGTGGTATTTTTGTTTATCTTGTCATTATCCGATGAATGCTGCCATGAGATCTGTGGCTGGTGTCAGTTACCACTACAGAGTGGTGTGTTTTCTTTGACCGACAGGTGAAAAAACTGTAGCTGTTGATTAGGTTAAGCATTTGGCTTTTGCTTCAAGAACCAACATCCATTCTTATATTGCAATGCAGGTATTTCTAAGAGGCAGCATTAAAACCAATATCAGGACTTTAAAATGTAAAATAAAGTTGCAAGAATATATACATAGTAATAGAATATCCTCCCTTTTCTAATCCTATAATTCTAACTTTTGATCTCCAGACCTCTTTATACTCTTTTAAAATTTATTAGATACCTGGATGTCAAAGAGCTTTTGTTTATATAATTTATATCCATCAATATTTGCCATATTAGGAAATAAAACTGAAAAATATTAAGTATTCAAAAATTAAAGTTTATTACATGCTAACATAAATAACATTTTTAAGAAAATAGCTGTATTTCCTAAAACAGAAAAAAAAATTTGTGGGAAATGGCACTGTTTTACATTTTCAACTGCTTTTTGAGACATGGAGTGAAAAGACAACTAATGCAAAGGCTAATTTCTAATGAATAGCATAATGCAATCATTGTTGCTATTTCTACAGGACCTCTTTCTGTTCAAATGAAACTAGATTCCTTCTGAATGTCCAAACATACAGTATGTCAGGAAGCAGAGCTAGTTCTGAAATAAAATTGGTTTATTCCAGACCTGTCTTGTACATGCCTATTTAATTGATTACGAAACAAACACACAATCAACCAATACGTCTCGTGAGCATGTTACTTCTGGGTGTTTTGCAAGGTGCTGGAGATAGAAAAGCATAAGACAGATGGGGCCTCCCTCACTGCCTTGGAGTTCGACCTTGTTTAGATCTGCTGGCCTCCGACTTGCAAACTGACATTTAGAAAGATGGCTATTTCTTGGGATAATAAACAAGGATAAAATACAGGCTTATCCTAATGTGCTCCTCCTTTCAAATAACTTGTATTTTTTTCTAATTATTTGTGATGTATTTGGAAAAAATGAAGACTGTAAAGAAGAAAATACAAAATTCCCTAATGCACCCAAAAAAGCCTATAATGGCATTGTTTAATTCCTCTCAGGGCATTATAATTTTCCATTTTTTCTGTGTGTGGGTGCATGTAGTTACAATTGCAGTTGGCTTTGAACAACATGGATTGGAACTGTACTGGTCTGCTTATACATGGATTTTTTTTCAATAAATATAGTACAGTACTATAAATGAATTTTTCTTATGATTTTCTTAATACTTTTTTTCTCTAGCTAACTTTACTGAAAGAAGACAGTATATAATATATATAACATACAAAATATGTGTTGACTGTTATAGGTAAGGTTTCTGGTCAACAGCAAGCTATTAGTAGTTAAATTTTTGGCGAGTCGAAAGTTACACGTGGATTTTTGACTACACAGAGGGTTGGTGCCCCTAACCTGTGTTGTTCAAGGGTCAATAACATTTATTTTATGAAGTTGAGGTGATATTATGTATTTTGTTCTATCATAAGAAACTCTTGAAACATGTTTAATATTTGAATGAGTTCATAATTTCTGGAATAAGAATGAAAAATAATTACTTAACCATTCCCTACTATTGGGAATTTTGATTGTTTGTTGTTTCTAAAACAGTTACAGAGGTTTAATGTTTACGTATTTGAAATGAAGTCTTTGACTTTCTACCACACGCAAGGCCAGAACTTTCCAGATAGTGTTAAATAATACTGGTGATGCTAGCTGGCTGTGGTTTGTTCCTGATTATAAAGGCAGTAACTGTGGTGTTGTTAAATATGAAGGCAATGGCTGACTTGAGTTGGGTAAAAATCATATTAAGGAAATCCTTTGAGTTCTAGTTTTTAAACATCAACAATGGGGAATTGAACATTACCAGCTGTCTTTCAGTGCTATTGCAATAATTAGGTTTGTCCCAGTTTGGCCTATGGGTGTAATACATTATATTAACAGTTTTCCTAATATTGTCCCTGTCCACCAGCATGAATTCTACTATACTGAAGACTAATATACTTGCAATGAATTGTCAAATTTAATTCCATAGTATTGATTTTGAGATTTTAACATCCATGTTTATTGTACATTGTTCTTGAGAGACAACTAGTGTGACAGGATCTAGATATACTCTGTGCATTTCGTTCTGGTCTGTAAATGTGGGTTGCTGAAATTAGGGACGGGGAGCCTGTTTGTGTCTATTATTCACTCTCCCTTTTTCTTTACTTCTTACCCCAGCTGCACATTGAGGGTTTTTTCCCTTTAGTGAATCGACAAAGTACTCCTCTTAACCTCTCTCAAAACATGCATCGCACTCTTTCTTATATTAAAATTTTCTGTCTGTTTTCTGTTCTTGCAAAAGTGGTCTTTGTCTTACGAGTTTGCCATCCCTACCCCTGACCCACTAAGTGTGGTCCACCTAAGCTGTCTTATAGGGCAGACAGTGGAAATAGATGAGTTTTGGCAACATCCTTAGTGTCCAGACAGAGCCCTCCAGTACGCAAAGGAGGAAAGCAAAGAAGTCAGAGTGATCGCAAAATCCGGAGCCTACCGTGCTTCTCTCTAGCAGCAGTATGAGTCCAGGAGGCATGAATCAGCTTCTAAAGGCGTAGGAGAGGGCAGAGCAGGGACAAGAGTGGAGCCAGGTGACTGCCCCAGGTGGCTGCCCATTCTGCTCTTGATAGTAGGTTACCAAGAGAACTAATTATTTCGAATACTTATGCCCACCTCATGTACACACCATTTGTTATCTTCAAGTAATTAAAAAAAAAAATCAATCCAGGTGCCTGGGTGGCTCAGTTGGTTAAGTGTCTGCCTCCGCCTCAGGTCATGATCTCTGGGTCCTGAGACTGAGCCCTGCATCAGTCTCCCTGCTCAGCCCAAGTCTGCTTCTCCCTTTTTCTCTGCCCATCCCCCTGCTTGAGCACTCTCTTTCAAGTAAATAAATAAAAATAAAATCTTTTCTTTTTTAAAGATTTTATTTATTGGGATGCCTCGGTGGCTCAGTTGGTTAAGCGACTGCCTTTGGCTCAGGTAGTGATTCCAGGGTCCTGGGACTGAGTCCCGCATCAGGCTCCTTGCTCAGTGGGGAGCCTGCTTCTCCCTCTGCCTGCTGCCCCCTCTGCTTGTGCTTGCACGAGCTCACTCTCTCTGACAGATAAATAAATAAATAATAAAAATCTTTAATCTATGAGAGAGAGCACACAAGAAGGCAGAACGGCAGGCAGAAGGAGTGGGAGAAGCACGTTGCCTGCTGAGCAGGGAGCCCGATGTGGGGGCTCGATGCCAGGACCCTGGGATCGTGCCATGAGCCAAAGGCAGACGCTTAACTGACTGAGCCAACCGGTGCCCCCAAAGTAAAATCTTTTAAAAAAATCATTCCAATACTCATCTCAAGCATCATCTCAAAATGATATCTTTCAACTGTCAATTCTTTCCCAGAGGAAGGCTTATAAAATTAAGTACATTATAGGGTCTCCCCAACTGGACTGTAAACCACTTGAGGACAGGGATTGGGTCTTAAGTGCATTCTGACCACTGCTGTGCTACGCATAGTTTAGACTTATTAATGAGTGTCTCTGGAATTAATTAACCTTTTTTTTCCCCCTTGCACTGTAATGTTATCGAATGGTATTCCTCACGCTTACTTAAAGACCAAAAGCAACTTTGAAAACAAAACAGACCTTTTAATAAGTAGTAAGAGAGAGCGTCACAACCAAAAAAATGGGACGGAAATTAACGGAGGAAACGACAGCAGGCGAAGGAAGAGCAGAAGCACGTGGCTCAAGCTAGAGCTTAAATGGGTGTTATGACACCAGGGACATCATTCCAGCGATGACTCTTCTAAGTACCTGGTCCAACTTCAGACCATCCTTGCAGGGTGGGTCTAGTTAGTGGGTATTGCTGGCCTTGTGCTTCTGGACAGCAACTGACGCTCCTTGGAAGGCAGACTGAAAAGCTGTGTTCCATGATTCCTTTCTCTTTTTCCTTAGGGTGTTAAATACCACATTATTTGAAAGCTGGGAGATCGTTGGACCTTACCCTTCCTGGTGGGTTTTTAATCTACTGCTGTTGCTAATACAAGGCTTGAACTGCTTCTGGTCTTACTTAATCGTAAAAATAGCTTGCAAAGCTATTTCAAAAGGCAAGGTAAGATGAAACTTACTGTTTCTGATACATCCCAGAAAATTATGTTTTTTGCTTGTTCTTAATCAACAAGAACATTATCATTTTGAACTTTATGAAATCTTATATTTTTTCTTCATAATTTAGCATAACCTCCTGGAAACACAAATCAAAATTTCGTTTTACTTCTACTTAGTTAATTTTTTTAAGTTTTTAGCATTGGTTTGCTGATGATTCCCACTGATCTGCATTTATAATTTTAGACTAAATGGTATGTTATTTGTTGTGTTCTTTCTTTCCCTCTGTCTCCCATGGTCCTTCTCTGATTAAACTTGTGCTGAACAGAAATTTAATAACTTCTTGCCTTTTATGATGCAGTATGCCCATTTATGATTTTTCCAATAAAACTTAGTTAAATCTCTCTCTTTAAATAAGGACTCGTGAGGCTGATTCAAATAACGTTTCTTGGGAGCAGTGACTTTTCCAGAATGTTCTCTGTGACATTTTCTTACTTTCATTGTTTATTCTCTTCCTTCTGCCACCCTGGAAGGCTGGGAAGTGGAACCCTTTACATGTAAGTTCCTCATACCTCTCTCTCTCCCCCCTTGTTCTGGGTGCCACTTTAGCCTGTTGGAGGGCACTCAGAAAAAATGCTTTTGTTTCCACGTGTCTCGTTCTAGCTAATAAGTTGGCACTGACCCGCAGCTTTCACTGAACTGTGGTTCCCACCAGGTGCAAGGGATACTAGAAACAGCTCAGTGAGTAGTGCCCTTTTGCAAGAGCTTGCATTCTGCTAAACTTTGCACCATCCAACAGAAGGAGAGGAATTTTTTTCATCAGTGTGTAACATGTTTGCTAAAAAAAAAAAAAAAAAAATAGACAGAAATAGACAAAAGTGAAGTAGAAGAAACAACACTAAGTTGGGGAGAGGATCACCATGGACCAGAATGGAGGCCTGAGCGTCAGCTCTTGCCCCAGTCTGCCCTGACCACCTTGTCCTCGGTGAGGTGAACAGAGCTGGCCCCTTCCATGGGACTTGGGACATCTAGTACTGTGCAGCCAATTCTCAGTATCAGCTCTTATATAAATCCAAAATATTTTGATCAATTAAATGTTCAGAGATGAAAGTTCATTTTTTCCTCTGTGACCTCTTATTCTTTAAAATGAGCACTTGTAAGCACCGGATGTTCTACACAAACAATGAATCTTGGAACACTGTATCAAGAATTAATGGTGTATTGTATGGCGACTAACATAACACAATAAAAAAAAATGAGCACCTGTATTTCTGTTAAACACTCCTTTTCCTCCTCTGGATACAAATTACATCAACATGCACAGTGTTGTCCTCATGGTAACAGTAACCAAGGACAGGTGGATCCGATTACTTGTATCCTTACTGCATTGCTCTTTCCAGCAGACACAGTCTTACCAAGAGACGATTATTAATCTCATTTTAGATGCCAGGCTGCAGAATATCTGCCCTTGCTGTTCACCTAGGACAGTTAGATTCATCTTGGCCATGGTTAAGAATTCTGTTTTTCTATGAGTTACTTTGAGACCTTCTAAATTATTCCTTTCCTTGAAAGTGACATAAGCATCTTTTTTTTTCCCCAAATACAATTAAAAATCATCTAACAAGCATGCAGATGTAAATTGATCACTCTCTGAAACTGGAGTTTTCTTTCCTATTACCAGCTTAATTTATGATTAATGGATGTCTCAGTGTCGTGGGGCTTTACTCTCATGCTGTCTTTGTGACCCATGTTTGTTAAGTTCAAGTACCCTAAACAATTCAGTCCTTTTGGTCTTTCAGTATCTAAATAGTCTTGGAGACGGTCCGTGTGCATTCAGTCTCATCGGAGGAGCATTGGAATGCAGTCCATTTGTACCGTTTCTATTTGGTTGTTTCTGGTGAGAAAGGAGCAGCAGTTCTGAGCTCTCACACGGCCTCTTCCCCACCCACCTGACAGAGATTACGTTGTCCTGAAGCCACAGTGGTTTCTCCAGTGGGCAGCATGGGGGGGCACAGGGAGGATGTGATGTGAAAAAGCCCCCAGTTCATTCGGATACACCTCCCAGGAGACTGCCAGCGCACTTCTTAGAGAAAGACAGGCAGCTAGATTTGGGGAAGCTTTGTTGAAGCCAGGCCGCCAGATCCCTTCTGCCACCCGACTCGAAAAACAAGTGAACAGGGCTCGGTTATTCAGAGGCCCTCAGGCATGTTGGGTAAAAATGCTTACCATAATTTAGACGGATGGAGTAGGAGGTTCAAACTATTTTAATTTTAAAAGCAGTTGAGTGTTTTCTTAATCTCTCCCTAAATTACTTCCTTGCTAGACTGTGACTTTGTCCTTTATGGTAGCCCATATGCTGGTGCCTGAGCTTGCCATCCTCATTACATAATGAGACTGGGTAGAGGATTGAAGAACTCTGGAATGATGGAAGCCCAGTTGTGATGACCTGGTCAATAGATTTTCTTTGGGAAATATTTTAAACTAGACCTCACCTAGCAGGTTCCCAAAATGCCTCCTGCTGCCATGAGTTGTTACATAGTATATAAAACAAAATTTCTACTTAATTTTAGCAGACAGAAGAGAAAAACAAATTAAGTCATAAAATAATATATTACAAAGCCAAATAAGAATGATGCTTTAAATTATCTGAGCTAGTGTATCCCACCATTAGTGCAGCGAATCCTTTACAGGATTCTCGTGGGGAATGTGACGTGTGAGAGTAAATTGATCCATTTGTACCAAATTCCTATAGTACCATTCCAATTTTATAATATGTTACTTTACCAGTAAGAGTGGATTTCAGGATCTAGTACATTCTCATTGTGCAAAGATACCTTAATGCCTAGGCCCCCCTGTAATGCCTAAACCCACCTACATTCCATTCCTCAATAACGGACTTCCTCACTCAAATTGCGTATCTCCCCTGCAGGAGAACTAACTATTATGGCAATGTTCCTATCCTCTTAGATTTTTAACGTTTGCATCTGTTTCCCTTCATGGATGATTGCGTGTACTCTTCTGACCATGCCATACCTTGATGATTCCTTAGGAGCTGGTTACACTCACCTTCTTGTATTCCACAGGTGTCCAAGGACGACCGAAGTGATATCGAGTCCAGCTCAGATGAGGAAGACTCCGAACCTCCAGGGAAGAACCCTCACACAGCGACCACCACCAATGGGACCAGCGGTACCAACGGGTACCTCCTGACTGGGTCTTGCTCCGTGGATGATTAGTTCCTCAAAACTACAAGTCCCGAACAAAGTGAACTGTTTGTTCCTGGAAGTATTTAATAAGTTGCAAATGCAGTTCCTTTCATTATATCTCAGCACCAGAAAAAAAAAAATTAGGATTATCAAAGCATTTTGAATAGTGCACTGCCATATGTCCTGTCTGTGAATGAAGAAGAATTACCATTCTCTCTACGTAGGCATGCTGTATGTAATTGACACAAGGGAACAGTATTTGCATTTGTACTGTCTTAGAATATTATTTATATTTCTTTTTTGTTTGTAAATCTGTGGACAAAAGAGGGTTTCCTCACCCTTTTTACTCTCTGGGTTCATGACAGTGAGGGAGATGCTCCATGTGCTTCTACCCCTTTCTATTGCTGTAACTCAGTTTGATAGGAGTCTCAGCTTACCTTGTCACTTAGAGCACGCAAAACCCAGTGCAAGATTCTCGTACTGCTCCGAATAGGTTTGCTTTCTTTGTGTTACTGTGCCGGTTTTGAAATTGCCTATATAGCCTACAGTGACCATTTTCCCTGTGTAAAGTTTAAGCAGGATGAGCTAGGCTTTTTAATTGCCACTCTTCATGGTCGATTCGCACAGCTCAAATTAAAGACTATGGTTTTTTGAGAACTTTAAAAAATTGTTTTGTATTAAATTGCTATGGAATAGACATCGTTTCTTGTGCACATGGCCAGATATCCCCAGTGAGTACGGTAGCCAGCTGGAGATGAACTTTGTAGGTTACAGAGGTTTGTGTGTTTGTGTATTTTTGTTGTTGTTGTTTTTATTCCCTCTTATGAGGTCAGTGCTCTGGCTCTGAAGGAAGACCTTTGCTTAAGGTCATAGTTAGAGACAATGAAATTGCTCTTACTACTGGGAATTTGTCATGCTCTGAGAATAACAGAAAGAGAAAGCTGATTTCAACCAGATTTCAGCACTACCCCTATAATTGCCACAATCTCCTGTCATGTCATAAAAAAAAAAAAAAGAAGCTAAGTATATTTTGGCGCAGCAAAGGAGACTTTGAACAGCTGGCAAAGGTCAGCCATAGCCCAAAGCGCTTTCTTGCAGCCAGCATTCGAGGAAGTGTGCTATCTAGTATTTGATCTTGGTGTCTGGATTTTTCTGAGCAAAATAAAGCCAATGGGAGAAGGACAATTTTACTGTTTGTCTTTTCTCCTTAAATATGACCCAGACTGACTCTCCTGTTGCTAGAAACTGAGCAGTGTTGCACCTGAAGCCCTCTGGTTTGTTTCTTTGAAGACTTGTTCGGTTTCCAGGAGTTTTTATTCAAATGGAGCTATTTCCAAAAAAAATAATTAAAATTCTACTGGACTATGGCAATATCAGCAATGAGAAAGACTGCTGAAAATAAGTTGCTATAGTCTCCTGACACAGCAGTGTTATTTATGTATAAATAAGAAAACCATTCACATAAACCAAAGATTTTATCTCTTCCCTTCCAACTTTTAGTAAGGGGGAACAAAAAGGTATTACAAACACTTATTTCATAAACAAAACAAGAGTCTAACACCATAATGTAGTAAGTAGCATAAATGTGTGAGTTAGGGGATAGTAAAGACCGCAGCATCAGAAATACTAAGGAGTGCATGTCCTGCTTACAGCCATTCACATTCGATTCAAACTTTTGAAAAAATTGAAATAAATCTTTGTGCCCACAATTTGTAACCTTAATAGTTAAGATAATGCCCCCAAACAGAAAAAACCTCACACCGTAATATTAAATCTTTCCCTACCTATATATGAAATAGTCTGTTTCTGATAAGGCCCATAATGATAATTGAAGAGCCTTAGACATATGTCTGCTTGTTTATTGAGAAAACGATGCAACTAATTCTTCTCGTAAAACCTTGTTATTTTATTTCACAAAACAGGGTTATGTTTAGGAGTGTAATTTGTGGATGGTTTGAGACCAGTCATAAAACATCAAAATTTCTTGTTAGTCATCTGAACATCTGCTAAAATACAGATATATAAAATGAAACAGCATATTACAGCTGAAAAATGTTGAGACGGTGCAAGTTTCCTTTCTTATCAACTAAACTATGGGGAAGAGAAGTGAATTGTACCTTGCTGTAGTGTCTGGGACAAGTCTTCAAAAGGGAGAAATAAACCAGAGAACCACCATGTGTTCAAATTCGGGTCATCTAATACTCTACCACAGAAGAATAATTTCAAAAGATTGGCTCGCAAATTAGTGGTTTGGGGGAGTTGCATGGAAAGACGTAAACCGAGTCTGTCCTTAGCAAAGGCAAATCTAAGCAATTTTTTATTTTTCCCAAAATTCCTTTGGAAGGAGCTTCAGTGACCAGTGACATTCACTTAACACAGTCCCCTATGTATCTATAGATTTTTATTTCATTTTGCATTCTAGGGCAAAGAGTTCTTTTTGATTAATCCAAGTGGTGTTTGTAGACCGGTGAAGATGCAAAATAATATATTTCTGTCTACTCCTCCCCCTTATCATGGTGGCATGATAAGACTGAGAGAGAAAAATATGTGAGATATCTTATCTTCTATTGTGCCAGGCCATAGCTTTGGAAGTGCGTTTTGTATATGCAGCTGTAGGTTACTGACAGTGTTGTTTCCCATTAATTACCTTAGCCCGTGTTGATAGCTCCTTCCTCCTGGTCATATTCAAACCCTTCCAGGATACCAACGGGTGTGTAGGAAGGAGTCTAGAAAAAGTAATATTTTATTCTCTAATGCTGTATAGCTTTTCTAGATCTCTTAGTGGAGAAAAAAAGTAGAAAACAAGTAGAATTTGGCTGTGGGTCAATAAATGATATGACAGTGTGTGATCTATGTATGTACATTTATGTTTCTCCAGAAACATAAAACCAAAAGAGCACTGACTCATCCTTATCCATATTCTTTTCATAAAAACTATCCACTGTATATACGAGAAACTTCCCACCTCCCTCTCAACTTCCTGTTCATGCCACTCACCCAGATGAAAGTTGGTAGGATCGTTTCTCTTGCCTCAGGCTAAGATCACAGAGGGCCTAAGGTCAGCATGTAAGCCAAATGTAGTTCACATTTCCAAACTAAGTGGTACACCTGTGGAGAATTAAATAACTGTCAGTATTTTGGATGATTAAGCTGAATGTTGGGGAAAATGCATATGGGTGCTGTTTCACCCCAAGGTTTTGTTATCATCCAACTCCTGCCAGACTGCTAGACAGATGGTGTCCTGAGGTACCATCAGATAATGAAACAGGTAGCAGAGAATGATGGGCTAGGAAGAAAGGTAGACTCCCCAAAGAAAGCAAGAGGTTGGGTGAGAGAAATCACTCTTTAGTGAGATAAAATCAGACCATGTTTAGCCAAAATGGTGGGTGAGCCTCAAAATGTCCCATTCTATTGCCAACTTTCCATTCTGAGTATTTGGTAGAGGTTGGGTTTGAGTGAGCTACATGCTTTCACATGAGGCAGGAAGGGCCTGGATCTCCCACTTCGTGTGTTTGAACCTCGTCGTTATTTGGGCTGATGTAAAAAAGGAGATTTCAGTTCACCTGAGTCTTTGCAAAAGAGCTCTTCTGAGAAAACTTTATGGACCCCCATGATTGTTCCCATTCTGTTCATGACTTTGTATCGATAGTTATTTTTGTCCCTTTCTCAGAATGTTAATGCCAAAGTTGCCTGAATATTTGCGTGTTTTTTTCTTAATTTGAAGCGTACAGAATAATTCCAAAGGTGTTAAGAGATTCTGTTTGTTTGTGTATGTGATGATGTCGTTAATGTCCAGAGAGGCTTCAAGAAATCCTTTGGAAACAAAAGGTTAAATGTTTACATTTCCTGTGATAGTTGAGGTCTTAAGATACTAATTAGCTTACTTTTTTTTTTCTTTGTCTTTGGCTGATTCTGCTTTGTAGATAAATAGTATCCCTGAAATCTTTAGGACATTCAATTAAGAAAAAAACCAAATTAGGTCAAACTCAGCCTGATGAGAAAGTGATGACAAGCCGCTTCAGTTTTTAGGTAACTCGTGTGGGACGAGAAAATGCAGTTAGCTCTGGTTATTACACTTGCTCTCCAGCATGCCGTTCATGAAAGGAATACCCTCAGTAATCCTAACAGTCTTTGAAGTCATGCATAATGCCGCAGATAGTAATTGGTACTGGTTCACTGTGGCCACAGTAGTTCTTGATGGAAGCAGGCCAGAGAAGGACCCTGTGGTCCGCCTTTATGTATACGGTCCCCTCCCTTCCTCTAAGGGACCCTCAGTAGACGCTGGGGAGGCCTATCCATTTGTCCACTCTGTGCAGTTTTTAATGTCTCTCATATATATTCAGGGGGAACATCGCTGATGCTGGTTTTCATGGAGAAAACTTGATTAGAGGACATAAAGCATTATAAGGAACAGTTTGTAAGCTCCGCAGACACAGAAAGGAGAACCTGAACTTTTTCCAAGTCTTTGTAACTGAAGTTCAGCCTCGAAGCCTTTGAAAGGAATGGCTTAGCAAAGGGCCACAAGCTAGGACCCCATCAGCTCAAAGAAATAAAAGTCTCTGCAGCCAGATGGCCTGTCGTTTGGCATCTTCACAAGACTAGGTCTTCTCAAGATTGCCAGGAACTGGTGGGAGGGGTCGGTTAGCCCAAGATCTATCTGTTCATCTCATCCACCCACATTCCTCTCAGCCTCCTGGAACTCTTGATAAGAAGAAACCAAAATATTGTCACTTATCTGCCATCAACTTCCCAGCAGACTTTGGATCAGTGGTTGACCACACTTCTTTTCTCTGACTGATTCCATTTTTCTTAAAAAGTATTGGGCCCATGTAATCTTGTTTTCCTCCAGAGGCCCATGAAAGCTTGGTTTCCTGTTTTGCTATATGTTGCATGGCCTGGAAACCAGGGACAACAGCTGTTGGTATGATTTCTATGTTAAGTGAAAAATTAGATCTTAGATCTTTTTTTTTTTTTTCTCTTGGATCTACAGTAATTTTTCTAAACTGTCGTAAAACTGCCCTTAAAAAATTAGAGGCTTTTAAAGATTAGTTGCCAAAGCTAAATGAGCTCTATAATAGCAACAGTTCTGTGGCAATTCTGGGAGTTTAACTTAGAGACTCATTGAAGATGGAATACCCCCTCCAAGTTTGATCTCCAAAAGTTTCGTAAAGCCTCTAAGCCTATGATTCTCATCAGCTCTAGGTGTGCCCATAGAATTGATTACCTCCATAGCCATTTATGGCCAAGCAAGGGGGAGAGGGTTCGTTGGGGATTTGATTTTTTTTTTTCAATTTGCAGTGAGAAATAGGATAGGTGACAAAAGCTTAACTTGTTTTCTTAAGACAATTCAGTGCTTGAGCATCTCTGTCAGAAATGGAATGACGTACTGTTAGCCAATTAGAATTATTTTATGTATTGTTACTGTGTTTTGCTGATTTTTATATGAAAATATAATTATTCATTCTTGATCTCTGGAAGCAATCATTATGAGGATCATTTTACTTTGGAAAACACTTTTCATAATAAAGATAAGTATTAACAGTCAAGTGTCAATGACATTTTCTTTAAGCGCTCTTCGGCTGCTGTGGGTAATATGTCTCATCATCCTGGACAGGATTTATTTCAGGACACACATCATCCCTAGTTTCTTGCAAACTTTCCTTAAATCCCAGTTATCATTATGATTACTGAAAAGGTAGTATTATATTTATATGTCATATATATATGTCAAATATATATATGGCTACATATATATAACATACAACATATATATCTCTATCTTGTCAGGAATTTAGCTAAGCTATTCCATAGTATTGCTGCCCCAGTATCCATTTTGTTTGCAAGGTGCCCTGCAGGAACCCTAAACTGCCCCTAGCCCCTCAAACAGATGCACACCCTGCAGAGCGGTCCTGAGACTCACAAGCAAATGCAGGTCCCTGATAGGACCTCCCCAGTAGCCCCTGTGATCAACAGTCTCCCCTTCCAGCGCCTTGAAGGCCTTATGTTGCCCCTAGTAAGACCACCATGGGGTT